ATTATTGCCATATTCAGCCAAAACACTGCTGAAACAAGGATGATAAAATGGGGGGGGGGGGGGGGTGATGTTGGTCAGACAGCATGTGACAAAAAATGAAGCCTGTATTTCATTTTAGATGTTTTGAGTCAGACAAGCTGATAACAATGTTTCCCACACACACACGCAGGCACGCACACACACACTTAGGCCTAACTCAGAGCCAACTAAAACTCACTTGGGGTTGGAGCTGTTCCAGTAGACAGCGTGTCTGTCAAATATGATCTTCTCCTCTGCCCACACGGAAACCCAGGACAGGATGGTCAGCACCATCACCTCCATCACACACCTCTGCCCGAGCTGGCACAACATCATAGACATCCAGTGGGGGGGGGGGATCTCTCTCACATACACACTGGAATTAGGCTTTCACTGCGCTGCTGCTGCTGCTGCTGCTTCTGCAGAAATCCTCTCTAGATCATTAATGTCCGTCTGCGCGTCTTTGGACAAATCGGGTCGGCGGTTCATGGATCGTTAACTAGCTTGATGCGAGTTCCAAAAACCCCAAGGCTGTTTCAAGTCATACTGAATGGCTGAAATGCACTTTCAAACTTCGTCAGCCACGGACGGAACAGCAGGATAATCATGTTATTTATAAGCGCGTCGTCGGCTGGATACTGCGAGTGCGTCTCCTCTGCAAGGTCCGAAACTTTTCTCCCATTACGCGCGGAGGGGAGATGAATTCTACACCTGGATTAGATCCCCTCTCTCTCGAAAACCACAATTAATTAAACTCCAGAATTCAACCCAGGTTTGTAATTTTATCGGCGATATCGTTGCTCATCAGCAGATGGAAGACAAAGTCAAAATCGACCGTCATATTTGTTTACCCAGATTGGTGTCGGGTTTTCAGCCTGGCGCACGCTTTGTTCAGCTCCTCTCACGCTGCAAATCTCTCCACAGCCTAAAACTTCGTCCACTTGACCCTTTTCTCTTATTGCAGTTCAAAGACGTACATTCCAGACAGACGAGCGCGCTCCTTTCCGTTATTATCAGTCCAAACTTATTGCGCAATTACAATTGCAAGACGGGAGCATCCTCCTCATACACCACAAGCTCTTACAGTATCTCAACTTGGTGATCCCTCCGCTGTCACTGGCTCTAATCCAATGTGACTCCAGTCGCGTTGCACCTTCACTTTCTGTGCGTCACGCTGACCGGCGCAGGCAGGGAGCCGTTGATGATCACAGCTTTAATCCGAACATGCTCCCAGTGCAACCTCCACCTATGGCGGCAACAACACACACCGGCACCCAGATTCGGTCTAAGTAACCCCCGCCCCCCTCTCTCTCCGTGTAGCGCTCGCTTTTTTCTCTTTCTGCGCGGGCGGGGTCTGTAGCCGCGCCGGGCCGCGCCGCGCTGGGGACTCAGGGCTGGCTGACTCACTGCGTCCCAGTGATAAACAACCTGAGATGTAAGAGGAAACCCTCATGTTAAATAAACACATTTATCATTTATTTATTTATAAGGAAGTCAACCGACCCTTTTAGTATGACATCAGTTACGAACTTAGATGAAAATATGATATATTATAGTTTCCCAGAGAAACCGTGGAAATTGTAATTTGTGCTGTCTTTGTGATTGTTTACTTGTTATTAATCACAACTACAGCCAACTGTTTGACTGAAGGCGATTTATTTGCATCGCAGCTGTGAATGTAAAGCGCCAAAGTTCACTATCTGTTTGAAAGCTGCGGCCTGATGGATGGCCTCAGAGAAAGAGAGAGAAAAGAGGGCGTCTGATGGATCACTGGAACAGTGGAGTCATTTTCCATCAGTGTCCATTAGGCCTAAAGGGCAAGCGAAGGCAGCACAGTCTAAAACCTGTGAGCCATAAACCTCCAGATAGTTCTGTCTGACAGAGCGCTGCCACCCCAGCTGCCTTTGTCCCGCGCGCGTGTGTGCGCAGACTCCTGCAAAAACACATCCATCTTAGGCATTTAGTCTCAGCGCCAATGGAGGGAGATATAGTAACTACATTTTTTCCCACAAGGTGCTCCATGTTTAGTTTTCAACGTGTCCATAACTTGAGCAGAATGAGCTCCAGTGAGGACCAATACATCGATTGAAGAAAAGTTGTTCATGTTAGCAGACTGAATTGTTTTAAGTAGCCTAATCAACAGACTCAGCAGGACAGGATTTTTTGCAGTGTACACACCCTTCAAACTCAGGTTCCTACAAAAGTCAGTTTTCCAAAATCAAACCGACTGACTAGTCCCACTATCCCCAATCCTAACAAGCCCATAATTTTAAATTGAAAATGTCTGCAGCTTTCATATCTTATTGTGCCTCTCGGTTGGATCCTTTATGCAAAGTGTCCTACTTTTGCTTTGCACTGCTCTGCCTGCAAAGTAATGCCTATAATTTGGGCTGCATGAATTCAGCCAGGGAGAGAACCCATGCACCCCCATAACCCAAATACAGCTGCATGTTGTCCGCCTCTGTGGATGAATTATTCAACATCTGTCTGATGCGTGCATATGTAAACAGGTGGATAGTCTCTGGATGGCTCTTTTAAGGGGAGCCACTATAGACCAAAGACATCCTTCACCTCAGCTTCAGACTTTTCCTCCTCTGCTGTGCCACTCTCAAAGTGAGTCTAAATCTCATATAAGCTGTGCAGACTACACAGTATTGGGTGTATTCAGACATGAAGGCCTACCAAGTGATCCTAAATCTAAATGAATGTGGGTCGGAGAGTCAGTGTATGGACACATGCCTCCTTAAAAGGGCGCTAAATCCTGGAATTTATAGCTGGTTAAGTCTGTGATTGCTCTGCAGTTTAACTCAGCTCAAGAGAGACATAAATTATAGATATACTAAATTATCTCCCAGCTCCAGATCTTAAAGCACAAAACAGATGAACATACCGTATGTCTTTCCAGGCAGTAGACTAACAAAGCAGCCATTCACATTCAAGTCTCACACATCAGACATCCAGCATTTTCCCTCTGTGACTAACTGACTTGTGGGAATTGAACTTGTCACATACAGGACAGTCTCATGAACCACTTGACCAGCCAGTCACCACCAGGCTTGCATTTGTGTGTGGCCTTGGTGTTTGCCAGGATTTGCTTGATTAGAGGCCGCAGTACTAATGTAAATAAATGTTGCCAGATGTAGAAGGATCACTACCCCACATGGTTCTGTTTAGTTCCGTGCACATGGCTATGGATGGAGCCAGGACCATCCCAAGGGTTTGGATTCGGAGAGGAGGTGGGGTAAAGTAACATGCATGGTTGAAATTCCCATTACAACACACTGTTAAAAAGTAGATATGGAGTGACATTTTCTATGTTCTGGATGTTATAACAGAGCTAATAGTAAATAGTTTGGCTTCTTTCTTTGGTATCAAAAAACCTTTTGGATCAGAGCATTTTGGAAACTGAATGTTGCCCATGCTGTACATATAGTGCTTGCCAGTTTCACTTAAAACATTGTCTAGGCAGATTAAAAACATTATTTATAATATTTGTGTGCCAGTGACTTCTGGAATATGATGACCCAAAAACATCTATGCTTGGATTATTTTACTTTGACTTACCCTTCCACCCAATTATGCAATCTCTTTGCATTTCAGTATATTCCAAAGAGGATTCTGTGTAGACTGCTCCCTGCTCTAAATTACTCTTGGTGCAGAGTGAAATACTAAGATGCTCCAAGTAAACAAGGGTCTGAGGTATCAAAGTAGCATCAAAGTGTTAAGTTGCAGCCATGGAGTTTTCTGACCCGTGGGGATACACTGAAGGTGCTTAAAAAAGTACCTGAACATATCTTGGCAAAGGTTGCCATTTTATATTTTAAGGGTAACATTAAAATAAATTCTCAGAAGTGCAACCTTCTTTAAGTATCCTAAAATATGCTGTTGAGCAAGTATGAGACAGGTATCTGTCTTTACTTTGACCTTCAAGTGTGCTTTCTTATGCAAAGTAATAACAGAAGAGAAACTAGTGCATTCACTGTGGAATCCACACGTTGGAGCCCACTATATTTAGGACCGCACTCCACAAACTGCTGGGATTATACAACAAAATCCAGCTCCTCTCAGCCACAAATACAGACACCACTGGACTCAATTCTCCTTTTCTCTCATTTGTCCCTCTCAAAAGGAAGATCTGAGGTTAATCCTCTCTACCGCTCTGTAAGGAAGTCAGGAAAAAAAAAGAAGGTATAATGCCAGAAAGCCCAAAGAGGCACTTGAGATTAAGCCACTATTGACATTGTGTGAGTGGCAGGTAAAGTCACCTCTGCTCAGCAGCATTTGATTACCAGCAGAGAGCAAGACCTCCCCCCTAGTGGTTTAGGAGGTTTATAACTTGTTTGTCATTGAGGTTTCCCGCCCCCCCAGCCCATCACATCCACTAGGAACTTTGTGATAAACATGGATGCCAGATACACCCGATAGCCATGCTTGTGTTTAATCTTAATTATTCATCTTATGAGATACAGCGACGTGGTTTCCACAGCAACCTGGCTCATCTCCTCAGAGTGAGGCAGCCCTGCTAAACTGAAAAGGTCAAAGCAGAGCACAGGAGGATTATTCAGAATGATTGAGAATAGCAAGTATCCAGCCTTGCATACCGAATTAACTCCCCACCCTGCCATCATCATCGCAGCAGTTTCATCAAGGGATTGAGCTGAACCCAGATGAGCAGTCAGTCAAGTTTCAGATGGGATGAGTACAAAGTTGGAAATAGTCAAAGATTTTAAAAAATAAAAATATATACACACACCCCACCAGTAGTAAACAGCATGGGAAACGTGGAAAATGTTACAAGATGTTAACCGTTACAGAGCAGCAGTTCCACAGGACAGGAGGGAAGAGACAGAAACCAAATGAGGCCAGATGAAAGAAGGAACAAACTAAAGATTTATTGAAGGCAGCAGAAGACGCAAGAGACAAGAACAGAATGGCAAGGGGGGGGGGGGGGGGGGGGGGGGGGGCACATACAGAGACACTTCTGTGTTCAGATAGGTTTAATGTCTTTGTGTTACAAAAGTTGTTGTTTTTACAGCTCCAAAGAGCATAATAGGTCTGTATTGTTTTATCAAAATATACATGTTTTGAACGTAAAGAGGATAATCCAAATGATTTTGTGGTACAAAAACATGAATATATACAACCATCAACCCCGCTTCATACAATAACCCCACCCCGCTCCCATATAAAAAAAAAAAAAAAAAAGCTTAACAAGAAACCAAAAGGCATATAATCTTCTACACTGTCAACATTTCAATTAAGTATCCATTCTAAAGCAATCTACGAAAGTAGACTCTTTGTAAAGGCAAACAAACAAAATGGGATACAATATAGGTTGAAACTCAGTTATTTCAACTTCATGTGACTTTAGTCCAAGGCATCTGAGAAAAGGGAAAAAATGAACTGAAGCCTTGTATACATGTGGAATAGCAGGAATGTGAATAAACCTTTAAGAAATCACAATTCTACAAAACAGTGGGGGTAGAAGATACTTTGGTCCTTAACAGCATAACCGTCTGCAGCTACATGAAGCTTTGTTAAACCATGCATAATAATCTTTTACAAAAATAGAGACAGAGCGCATCTGCATCTGGTCCAAAACTAGTGGTCGAGGCTGTGGAAACTGGTGCTTGAGGCACGCAGGAATGTGACGATGTTTAAGACTTCAGCGTGATGGTGCCAACTTGGAACTATCAATGAGGAAAAGTGCACTAAAGAACCTGACTGTGGCATAAGTGGACACAGACAGGTAATCGGCAAGGGCTATCCCACCTGGTTATCCTGAATTTAAGAAAAAGATATATACTGGGTTTTCAGACACAGTCCAAGACTGTTGTTACTTTCAATTGACAAATGCCTCCAAGCTGCCCTCTCACAGGTAGGATTACCTGAATATAATGGGATAAAGGCATCTTTGAAGACAGGTAAGATAAAACACCTGAACAAGAGGTAAACAAAGTCAACTGACCAGGCCAGAAAGTGTTTCAGCCTCAGATTAAAAACTGAAGGAGTCAAGGCACTGTGATAATGATCAAACCCAGCCACTACATATAGGTATCAGTTAAGCTTAGAAGTGATACACATGTAAATGCCAACATTAAAAGAAAAGATAAATGAATATATGTGTCCACATATAGATGAACATAATATGGTTAAATGAGGCCCCAAAAACCACTGTCCCTAGAAAGGACTTAATGGAGGTGAATGGGAACTGTAAGACAGGAAGGCTGACAGCTTTACTTCCTGCTACAATACACCTAACAGAGCTACATCACCTAGCAAAAATATTAGGCATCTAACTTACTTACATTCATAGTTTCTACATACATATGATATATGCAAATCCTTAGATAAACATTTGTTTTGAAGAAGCAGAAGATTGAATGAGCCACTTTCCCCCTTTCAAACAATGCTGGTACATACCAGAAGGCATGGAGAGAAAAAGAAAAAAAAAGGCATACCGAAAGCCACGTCTTTAGCGCTGTGTTATAGGCAATCCGGTTGGGGTAAAGTAAGGCACAACACTGTAGACTAAAGAATGTGTCCTTGATTAACTTTAGATAGTGGTATGGGTCCCCCAAAGTAAATAGGTGGGTTGTTAAAAGAAGGCAAAAATATAATAAAAAGGGGATTCTGGAACATAAATTGTTAGGTGGTCTGTGAGCCAAAACTAAATCCTTGTCTCAAACCGTTTCTGACTGGCCAAACAGGTTCAAAGTGGCATTTCAAAAAGGCGCACACACACACATCCACACGACTATCATAGTAAAAGGAATGCTGAAGTGTGTCTGTTTTTGGATACAATTCATCCACATAAGCAAACATCCATGGTGGAGGGTGTCTTGTGTTTTTTTTTTTTTTTTTTAGAGATTTGGTCTAAAGTGACAGTTCATCAGCTGCCCCTACTTTACCTCCAATATATGTTATATATAACATGTTTCAGTGCAGAATGTTGCCTTTCCTGGGACCCCACCTAAATGTTAGGAGACAAATTAATGATTAGGTTTGGGTACCAAGAACCTGTTCTGAACTGGAACCAGTTTCAGTGATAAAACCACAGATTTGATCAGAAACCTGCTTTGATTCCACTTTGGTCCCTGAGCCACATTTGGACGCATTTGTTTACATGGCCTGTTACACTTGCGCCAATGCACGTGAATAGGGTTTACATCATTATGGGCAGGACCTACTTCTTACAAGTGTAGTTATGCTTTACATAAGAGTAATGATACAGGAAAATGTAATCAATAAGCGAAAACACCTTCCTGCAGTGGACAAAAACAGTCAATGATCAAGAATACAGGGTTTTTAGAGGTCCTCAGTCAAAGTAATAATGCCCCAGAATCACCTAATGTCAGCAGGTCTAGCTCAAATATGACAAAGTATATTACAATCTGTGCTTGGCAAATGGACATACTCCTCTTTGACTACATTTTCATTTAAAATACCTTGTATTTTATGTTGAATTACAGTTCAAGACACTAAATCAAAAGAAAATAATGGTGAGTGCTTTCAAAATGTTTTGGGTGATATGATGAAAATTGGGACCTGGAATCAGAACCAGAATCAAGTAGATTAAATCCTATACCCAAACCTACTAATGATAAGGAACAATTAAGAAAGCGGGTGAAGGGAGCAACATTCTACAATGAATCACAGTCATAAATATGTAATGGCCATTTCCACTGAAGGCAACCTTGACAAAAAGGTAGCATTCAGATGGCAATAGACTTGGAGGAAGGAAGAGAAGGCACTCAGATGGTGGACTTTGAGAAGGACACTCGAAGGTGGTGGTTCTCTCCAAGATCGTGGTTGTGAAACTCGATGAGGGACTCAATTGCTTCCTCGACTGAGCCCATCTGGATCAGAGCCATCTTGCGGTCCTTCCTGTTAAATAAAGAGAACATTGTTTTTAAAATGTCCATATGCTTTCCACTTGCTTACTTTTCTCCATGCTCTACAAGAGATCTTACCAAAAACTTCATAGCAGTAACTGCTTAAATTGGCTCTGCATTAAAATAGAGGTTGTTGATTGTTCTAAAGAAAGCCAACAATTCAAACACCAAAAAGTCAATAAAGACATAATTCAAGAAAATTGACTGAGTAGACTGAGACTTACTGAAAGAACTTGAAGGCCTTGACTGTGGCTCCTGAGCTGGCAAAAAGCCTCCTGAGGTCATCCTCCACCACAGATGGCCTGAAAGCAGAGGGGAAAATAAAGAATCAACATAAAGCTGTTGGTAATTATGTGGTTTTATATTCCCTTTACCTATTTGCATTTCTGTTTACTGGTGTGGTGAAACAAGACAACATCATTTAATTTGAAAATAAATGCACTTGTAGAGTAGCATGTTTATAAAAATACTGCTTAATCCCAAGCACTAAATACATTAAAAATTTAAAAATAAATGAGTCTACAAGACTACAAAGCTAAATAGCTTAAAAACACAAAAGCAGTTGGGTAGAGTGTAGGAATCAAAAGGAGGCTCTTGCAGCAGCACTCACGGTATGTTGGAGAGATGGAGTGTCGCAGAAGGTGGGAAGATGTTGGAGTAATTTTTGGAGCCAGGCTTCTTGAAACGATGCAGCGGTGAGTTGCCGTAGTCCTTTGTGAGGCCCTGGTCCTCATGGCCTTCTCTGGGCAGCTGTACAGTGGTGTGTTTCGAAAATGTCACACGCATGTCCCTGCCATGAAGACGCTGGCCATTCAGGTGGCTCATAGCTGAGACACATTAATAACATAGTCAACACTTTAACACCACACAAACAAAACCTGGCTTCACATACAACTCTAAACAGGACTGACTTCACATATTTTTCCTTTGTTGCAGATGACCTTTCACATTTTAACTGTACATTCAAAGAGTTAAAGTTCTATTACCAGTTTACAACATAGAGCTAATTTAATAATCAATTTCCATTCTAACCATCGCTGATAAGTATGCAGTTACATAACGAGTCTGAATTTTTTTTCTTGGATCCTCTGTGTGCAAATGAAACAATCAGAAAACAGCCAGTCATTTATGTCTGGTTTGCTCAGTTGAGGCCCACTAGGTAAAAGGCTAAAGACAATGTATGGTAAAATGATGCGAGGAAAATACATGAAAGAAAATTATAGATCAAAGAACGCCAATAGAGTTCTGCAGTGCGAGAATGTAGCTACCTAGCTGAGCCTGTGTGCCATCAGACATCTGGATCAGAGCGTTCTCCTTTTTATTGAATAGGATCTTCACTCTCATCACGTCGCCATACACACCTACGGAGAAGAGGAAGGTGTCACAATACAAGTTCAACAAAGAACACAGACATAACAGGACCCACACAGCCAATCACAGCAACAAAAACAAACTATCAAAATCAGGGGCATTAATATTCATACTGTTACTAAATGAATACGGTCTGATTAATAAGTAATTGTCAGGCTATTAGTTACTTATAACTTATCATACATAACTCCTCTTAGATAACAATTACACAAATGCTCACAGCTAAAATGGTTATGCCTGAGAAGGGAGAGCCAGTGATTTGAAGGCAAAAATCAGAGTAGTAAAATGAGTGGTTCTGATCGGTTTGATAGCTCTACAGTGAAGAAACTGTTGATTTCTTGACTAACTAAGGGCCTAATAGAGAGACATGCAGGAATAAACTATCATGCACATACCTACATTAGATTAACTGAGACAGACTGCAAAATATGGTGACATAATCCAAGGGATATGTCAACTCCCAATTACTAAAAAAAGCAGCAGCATTTCATCTTTGTTGCTGAGTGACTCAAGGCAACCAAAGAAAAATCAACCTAACAAATGAAATTTGATGAATTTTCATGGCTTAGAATTGGACCGTGCGGAACCAAATAAAATGTCAACTTTATCCTTTTCCTGAGGGTGATGCTTTAGAATTTAGATCTGCTTCCTGCCTCATTCCCGTACAAAATGATCCCCACATTTCTATTTGAGGCAATATTTCCACTGAGGGGCTGTGCTCTTTGAAGATGAAAAATTGCAAGTGTTTTTTGCCCATGGAAAGTAAACCACTGCTGTAAAAAATAATGAAATGCTGCAGCTTTGTGTGGTGTTCTCACCTTACTTTCCTCACACAAACCCACAACAACCAAAACAGGTCATACAAACCCCAACACAAACAGACACCCCCACCCTTCATAGCCCCGGAGCCTGATGACGAGACATCAGTGGTTAAAAAAAACCCAACAAAACCAACAACATGAGACAAGACATGCCCACCTTGCCAGGTAACAGTAGTAATAAAAAAAAGAGATGAAAGGATGATAACGTACCGAAAAGAATAAAGAGGCAGTGTGGCGTAACGCTCTTTAGAGACAGCAGGGGGAGCAGCGGGGCAGGGGGCCAAAGGGGGATACGGAACAGGGGACAGGGGAAAAGAGACGGAGCGGAGTGGAGGACAGTGGAGTGGAGTCGGGACATGTCCGCAGGCCACAGGCAGCGAGGTCCACAGGAAGGCCACAGTACCATGGAGGAAGGAGAGGCATGAGGGACGAAGAGAATGAAGATGGGAGAAGAGGAGAGGGTTCGAACAGCATGATGAAGATGAGGTGGAGGAAAGAAACAAGATAATGGAAGGACAGATGATGGCAAAATTGGGGAAAGGGGGGGCAATGTTGTGTTTTCAATTTGTGGGTGGTGTCCAAATTGGAGAAAATGAATGTGGGAGAAAGAGGGTTTGGTGGATAGGAGGAGGAGTGGTTGGAGTAGTAACAGTAGTGGCAGAGAGGAGGAGGAGGACAGAAGGAACAATTGGTCGTGGGGCGTGCAGTCAGTTGGCAAGAGTTGAGGTGAGGGGGGTTTTAATACAAAAGAGGGAGAGGGGGACAGAGAAAGAAGAGAGAAAAAAGGAAGTAAAAAACAAGGTCAGTATACACAAAGAAATGTAGTGCTTCAGACAGTAGAACTGGCTAAATTAAAATGCACTGTCACTATGGGAACACTAGGAGAAAAAGAAGAGAAAAAAAGATTAACAATGAAATACAGAAAAGGGCAGAGACAATATGTACTTTTAAAAATTACATACTATGTTTGTTTAGATTATTTAAAATTACATTGTAATAAAAACAGTCAAATCAGAAAATTAATTTTAATAATCCTGTTCCTGTAACAAAATCTGAACTTAAAATGAACATTTTTATCGTAATGACTACATAACATGTAAGTTATTAAGTTTACTACAGTAAATGTAAGTTGTGTGACCAACTACGTATACATTTTACCACTATATATATTTATGTTAAAAACCTAAATCACGGACATGGTGGGTTTTTTTTTTTTTTAAATACAAAGAAAAAGTAATATTGTCTCTCCAACAACTCAAGAATGATTTCAACTAATGGACAAAAATGAAGATATGAAATGGTAAGTAAAAAAAAAAAGAAGTTAGTGTTTTGAATAAACTTAAAATTCACAGTGAGCAAAGTGGCAGGTCAGAAATGCAGCAGGTTTGGTCAAACACAGACAGGTCCTGAAAGAGAATAGGTTTTGACTTGATGACCCCCTTTTAATAATAATAAAAAACTAATTTAAAAAAAACAAAAAAAAACCTGGAGCTTTTGAACAGATGGATCCAAGTCCATGGACAATAGTGTATATATATATAAAAAATAAAAAAATACCCCCCCCCAACATTTTAACATTTCTCAGCACTGCACAGCCAGAGGCAAGATGTAAAACTCTTTAAGCCTAGGGAGTACACTGACCTCAGGGTTCAGATTGCTGACCAACAAGACATGGTGTCCACCAGAGGGACCGAGTCCTGACAGACCAAGCCGACTAGCTGCTGCAGCTGCAGCCGCCATGCCACCATGTCCCACACCCAGGGACGCCAGGGCACCGGGCATACCGGGCATAGACAGACCTAAAAGGAAGAACATATTACTTTCAACTTATTTCTCTCGTCATACTAAAAGTCATCTGCTATGGAGAATATAAGAGTTGGCGTGTTAAAGTAAAGGCCAATTACATAAGAGTACATAGCAGGCAAATGTTTGCAGAAGGAATATTGGTCTCTGGAATAAGCGCGGTGGGAGACAGAACTGACCTGTCTGTTGGATGGCAAAGGTTGGGGGGAAGGCATGAGCTCCACCATAGGGAGAGGCTGATATAATGCCTGGAGCAGCTGGGACAACAGGCAACAAACAAAAATAAGATCAAACTTATCAATTACGTGTCCTTGCAATAATGACGAGGTAAAACAAGAAAAAAAATGCTTAAAAATAATTAATAAATCTTGTTGGTTTAAGGCTTGTTAACATGAACAGATGTGATTAGAACCAAACACAAAACTTCTTTAAATCATGTCACAATCTTACCAAATGCAGCTGCCATGGTCTGGTGGTCAATGGAGGCCTGTGAATCCGCAGTGGGGAGGTCTGGGCGGGTGTAATCCCTGCTCTTGTCATTGTTGTACTTGACATTGAGGCTGGTAAGCTTGGAGAAGCTGATTCTCAGGGTACAGCAGGCATTGTAGATGTTCTGTCCATCCAGAGACTGAGATAGATATTGGAGCGTTAGACTTAAGATGACTTATGTATTGTGTGTTACACTGGTGACTTAAACTTCAGTTTCATGTTTGATCAATTGGTCCAACAGTGTACACACTGGACTGAAGCTGAGATAGTTTCCTTTAAATTGGTTAATTTGTCATGGCCAATCTCAATCCTACTGCAAAGGTAACAAAGCACCAAGTGATCTGATATTCAATGGTAAACAATCAGAGTGAAACATAATGACAAAGAGCACAATTTGTACCAGTCTCACCAGTTTGGCGTGCTGAGCTGTCATGCCATCGGCATACTGGATTAGAGCCTGGAACTGGTTGTTCTTAGTGAAAGTGATGATCTTCAGCACAGTGCCGAATTTAGAGAAAATCTGGGAAGGGAGATCACACGACAGTCCCACAATTACCAACATGCATATTTTGTTATCAGATTAGCAAAGTATATTGCAGAGAATGTGAAATAAATATTTGTGACACAGAGGAACATTTCTCAGCAGTTAAACAACTCACTCACTGTAGTGTCTCAGTGAAACTACAAAACTGCCTGTACCTGGTGCAGTACATCCAGGGTGACTGGGTAGAAGAGGTTTTCCACGATGACTCTGAGTACAGGGCTTTGGGACGTGGCTCCTACGATGCTACCTGCATCTGCAGAAATGGCCATGCCTCCCATACCACCTCCATGCAGTGCATTGACTGCCTGCAGAGCTGCCTGGGCACGCTGAGGTAGAAAAATAACACAGGAACTTCTTAGCATGGATGTAATGCAAAAAATGATGCAATAATAAATGAATGTGGTGAGATGTCTTTGTTCAAGGCAACATGCCATTTTCTGTTTTTACCAATGAAATTCCACAATCTGCTAGACACAAACATTACATTGCACTGTTCAGAGCCTTTAAAAAAGGACCACAACGTTTATACAAACACATTTGAGATTGGTGGAAAGCAAGAAATCTTAAATTGACATGTTCAATCAACTGTTAGCTGCTGGCAATGACTACAACAGTAACTGAAGTCTAAAAGAGACATGTAAACAAAGTGAGAGTGTGCAAGCCCTTACCACTTGGTTTGGGGAGTTGTCCGTCTTGAGCTCCTTATGAGTTGAGTATTGCATATAAATGGGGTGGTTTCTGATGACAGGGGTGACAGAGGAGTAGTAGCTCACCATTGTCTGTGCACACTCCTCGCTGTTCAGTTCCAGGAACGCCTGCAGGGGAAGACCACTCAAATAGTTTTTCCTCCCATCACATATAATAAAAGGTTTCACTTTAGGGCAATATTTATTAAGCATTTCTAAGAACTATACTGTTGTGAAATATTTCTAATGGGCATTTTCACTGCCCATAAGTTTATTTTTAACCAAATTAAATCTATTGGTTTTGATACACAACTGCAGGTAATATAACATGACCCAATGACGACATTCAAGAGGGATTCAATGTCTTCCTCAAGAAAGTCTAAATGGGAGTTGTTTTCTCGTCCTACCCACTAAACCACGACAAATGTGACAAAAGGGTCATTGTCATAATTTTCAGGTCTAGGCAGAAGGCTAGAAACCTGATCCTTTGACCCTAAAGAGAAATTTCACTCAGGATTGCAAATCATACAGGTTTAGTGAGCAGACCTGCATATATCAGTCCTTACCTGGTTTTTCCCTTTCAGCATCAGCAGATTAGTGACCTTCCCAAAGGGAAGTCCCAGTCCAATAACCTCCGCCTCATTTATGTCGTTGGGCAGCTTGCGTACGTGGACCACACGTGACGGAACACCAGGACTGCGGACGTCACCTTTGAATTTTTTGCTGTCGTTGCCATTGGCTGCAAGAAAAAACAAACAAACACACAAATACAATCAGAGGGGGAGAGCAGAAGGCTCTGGTTCTTCTTGAATAATGGATTGGTCGTCATGGCAACACAAACACCACAGACGACAAGCACTTCAAAAAAATAAAAAATAAAATTTGCCCCTTCCATGGCAACCCCCCTACCTGAGTTCATGATATAGGGCCCGTTGGATATGCAGGAAGAAAAGAGTTCGTCGGATCCCCTCTGCAGAAGGAGAGAAAACAATGGTTCACTTCAGTGCATTCACCAATAAGGGCACAGCATGGCAGGTGGAGAGCACAGCTCTCATGTTACAGAGCCATTGTGCGATAAAGCAGGAAGTAATCTGATAACCAAAAGAGGATTGTACAAACACGCTTGAGAAGAACCCCACCTTCATCACCAGGAAGAATCAAGTCACCTAGCTTGTCAGCAGGGATATTAGACATCATAGTCATGTTTCCCTTTCTCATTGTATACTCTTCTGTAAAAGTATTGCCTAGTCCAAAACCAGTGTACTCATTTGTTTAACCGCCAATCACACTCAGGGCTGAACAGCTACTATTCAGCTTTAAAGCACACAAGTCAGCTGTAAAAGCCTATAGTTTAACAGCAGCTGTCAGTACAAGCAATCTTCTCATAACACAGTATTAGGATTGTGTACAACATGCTGGAGCCCTCTGGATTGGAAGGCAAGATGGGGATACTCGCAGCCCACACTAGTTTACTGTTTGCTGAAACAGCCTTGTCTGTCCTCTCTCTTTAGTAAATATAAAGTGCCGTTTCACGGCTGTGCGTATGTTTGTGGTTGAAGGAGATGAAGTATAACAGTCACAAGAAGTGGCTCAGCAGCCTAAGCTCTACAACACGCTACAATGAAGGTCCTGTTCGGGCTGAGACTAGGGGCATTGTTACATGGCAGCACACACACATATGGAACCCCAAGGACACTCTGGGAGTTGAAGTGCCCCAGAGCACTTTAACAACAACAACCAACCAGTCATGCAGGTTTGCTAGCATTCCCCACCTTGTGAATCTTTAAATATGCAAGGTGTGGGGGGAAGGTTTCAGTCAAGTTTCATGTGTACTCATGAAAGAGGAATAAGCTGATCAGAGAAAACATTTGGTGGTGTCTCTAGTGTAAAGGTATGATGTGGGGTACTGAGTTAGCTGCTCGGAGAGCACAAAACCACACAACACTGTAAGCAGCATAAACTACCCTTTGACTTCCAGATGGTTTGGCTGACTCAGTCACTCTCACTCCAAAGCCCACACAAACAAGGACTGCTATCTCAATTCATGAACTTAAACAAGGGACATTCCTACACCTTTTCAAAAACATTTAACAGACTGCAAGACTCAAAATGGTATGATGAATAGGTCATTAAGCATTGGATGCAATAGAAATGAGGAAAAAGGGTAAAGTTCTTAAAATGGGAGTGGCCAGTAAGGAACTTGCAGCCAATTGTAAAATTGAGTAAAAAAAGCAAGAGGCTTACAATAAAGATCACGATGAATGAGTGAGAATGGTGTGATTTGGTTGATGGGGAAAAACAAAACAAAAAAAACACACAAAACATTTTTGCCTGATATATGGGCCAAGGACAGATGTCAGCCATGAGAAATGAAGGAAGTGGCTCCAGCTTGACTCAGTGGTCGTGGGCGGGCCGTGTCACATTATCAGTCAGCAGACCAACTCCAAACAGGAAAGGCAGAAAGATCAGGCCCGCTTCCAGGGTTTTGCTAAACTTCCTCCTGGGGACTGTTCCATGGTAGGACTCGCTCCCCCCCCCCCCCCCCCCCCCCTCTTCCTCATTCTAATAATAACCACAGAGCTAAACTGCCTACAGTGCAGAGCAGACACATCAAGTCACATACAAAACAGAGGATTGTACAACAATTGAGTGAATAATATACCGATAGCTTCTGGAGCGAGAGTGCAGAGCAGCAGAAAGGATAAGTTACAAATCCAATGGTTGACTACAACAACGTGCCGAACCCATTTTCCAACACAAACAAACAAAATGTGTATCGACTTCTTCATATCCTTTATTTGCTCCAGACATTGACAGTATAAAAGAGTAACATTCAGGAGACGAGGACACATTACTGGCCCACATAGTGAAACCGCTGAGCAGCTTCCTCTCACTGACAATGGCCTACCTAAAATTTTTTTTTTTTTTTAAAGAAACATGGACTAGAGGCAATTCCCTTGCTCTACCCCCCCCCCCCATCACCACACCTGGTTTGCATTGCATCAAAGGAGGAAAACGAAAATTTTATAGGGGGAAAAACCCTTAGGATTTTCTTTACTTGTGTTGGCAAGGGCCCTGTAATCTCTCAGGGAAAGCACAAAGGGAGAACAGCACAGGTATAGACATGTTTGTTCACTGATCAGCTTTGCCAGTGGAGGGGGCAGGGAGCTGTGCCTCACCAGGGGGCTGGAGGGGGGAGACAGGAATGTGACCGCGGAATGCCAGACACTCTGCCCAGACGGAATAATTAAAGATTCCAGCTCCATAACTCAGAATCATCATTACCACAGCACATTAAAACCAGAAAACAGGATAAGTTAAAAAAGAAAGAATCACATCTGAAGTCAAATCTCGAGTATTGAGAAGCACCCATTAAATTGTGCATTGTTATCAAGCTGGAAAATAGGCCTTAGTCAAACAAGTCGGGGGGTGGGGTGTCCCCATTACAGCATTTGCACCAAGAGTATTTGTTTAAACAGCGTAAAGACCTTTGGTCAGGAGGATGAGGACTGTTGTGGGAGGACTGTTATAGCCCTAAGTTGAGTTCAATTACTCCACTTACACATAGCTGCCCCAGGCCATGTTACCAAGGATTACTACTTAGGAAGGCATTTTTATTGGATATGCAAGTTAACAACCAGCAGTTCCTCCTTAACAAGTATGCACAAACAAACATGTAGGGAAGGACTGCTGTTTCAGTTACATAAGCATACAACAGCTCCATCAGCACAAGAAATGTTAAGAGCAGACTCATGCAAATAGATTAACACTGGACAACACTTTGCTAATTTGTTTCACCATTGCCGGTTGAGTAATCTTGTGATAGAAATAAGTCTAAATTATCAAGCACCAGGACAGGATTCAGTTCCTTTCTTAACATTCCAGTAAGACCAACAGGCTATTATGGCACACACAAAAACAACAGGAAGTTTCAACAGCCACACAACCAACAGAAACAAGCACAGGAAAAAAATAAACCCCCACCATAGATAATCTATTCTAACTATATTATGTCCAGTCTTCAGAGTAGCTGCAACATTAGTGCGCTGACCATTCAGTTGCATATCATAAAAAGAAGAGCCAGTCTGCAACTGCAAACTCATTACACATGAGAAATGGCTTCGGATAGCAGTTCTGTAATTATAGAGGAAGCTCTTGCAAACAGACAGACTATGTAATTCAAGTCATCAATGTCGGCACAGTTCTTTTCCATTTCCGCACAGACTTGTGAAAAGTTTCTCTTTTCTTGCCTAAAAATGATTCAGGTGCAGTGGGACACGCAAAAATGCCTGCTACACTTGAAAAAATGTAAATAAAATAAATACTTATTATCTAATCTCAAAGCAAAAATTGATGAAAAAATAAAAAAACATACTTACAGCACAAATGTATATTTAATAAGGCTATAAATGCCAAACAGACATTTTTATGCCACAAAACCTACTGGAAGTTTAAACCAACAAATGATTTAGTGGATATCTATTTACTCTGCAAATACTAGGGTTAACAAATGTTAGCTCTTAGCATGTATTATATAGTGTGGTCAGTGAAATGAGGAAAAGTGAGAAGCAGAACTACAAAGAGAAGAGGATTACAAAACGGCTTACCTTTGTGCCAACTGATATGTCATGGACACTGCTGTTAAAGACAAAAAAAGATTATAATAAAGGAAATCAAAGGAAATTCCCTGAGATCCATCACAAGATACCTTTAAACAGTTCATAAAACAGAACATTGTGCGTGTTGAATTACATTAGTGTTGTTCAAACAAGAGCAAAACTGACTTCCTCATTGAGAGGGGAAGATGTACGAAGCTTGAAATTCAGAACGCACCACAGCAACTTAAATAATTCGAGCCAAACGCGGCCATGCAAAAATATAACGTTACACAATACTTACTCAATTTCAGGGACGTAGCCGGATCCCAGAGGGTACAAGTCAGCGTCTAGGCGGCTGTAGTGGGTTGGCAAAATATAAGTTAACAGAATACTTGAGCGAGAGTGGACACTTGGCACAAGTAATGATGAAACAAATCTCTAATAAACAAATGTACGTTAAGCGTAATGCTGGGCGGCTTCAAGGCAACATTCACGCTGCATTGGAAGTCCTTTCAACTGTCGAATGCAGGTGATCGAAAAAAGTGGAATAACGTTACGCCTGACTGAAACAACGCGCTATTGTTTCCCCTATCCTGTTTGGATAACCCGTTGTAGAAGTCTCTGATTCAATCAGCGTGAAATGTTCAGGCCAGACATCTTCAACATGGCCCTGGCACTCTCCAGACAAATGAATGCGGAAATGAGACACGTTGCTTTAGCTAGCTCCCGTGAAACCCAAGTTCCCAAGGTACAGTTAGCTAATGTTAATTAATGTCTGCGTTAGCACACGACGTTGTATTGCCAGTATGTTGCTCTAAAAAGTTTGTTCAAATCGTAACTTAACTCTCATCAAGTTAGGTATGCTTTAGTTAGCGTTACTGCCATAAAACGATAACATGTCCGTTCACACGGTTCACATAACTAACGTTTGCTAGCGGTAGCGATGGCTAGCAGCTGCTAGTTAGCTTACGCTCCTGCTAACTGTTGCATGTTTTGATGAAAAAAAAATGTTCAAAACTTTCCCGGTCTAACGGTTAACTGAAACAATCTTCGGAATCAAAATGTGTTAATAAGCTTCGAAATATGCGAAGAAATTGCTCGGCGACTTGTTTGCTATATAAATTTAAGTCTTAAGTATGGTTCTTTTTCCACTTACCCGTCCATTGCACAAGAAAAAAACTGCAGGTCTGAAGCGAAGGTAGGGCGGCACACTTGCTTGATTTTCTTACAAAATGGCTGAACACACGGAGGCGAGCGCTGATTAGTCCAAGCACTTTCAAGAGCCAAAAACAGGCGGGGACAAGCTTCTATTTGAGTCGCGATTGGTCAAGACGACTATCATTTTGTGAAAAAAGAAGGCCGCGGCAAATTTCCAGTACATTATATCCGTAGTAGACTGTATTATGAAGTGTTTAGGTTTGATCGAGTTGTACGGGATGAAAAGCGTACTGCGAGTCACCATATTGCTAAAATAAAAGAAGAGAAGACCTGTCGTTTTTTTTTTCCAAAAAGGGGAGGAAATCTGAGTTAAAAATATGGGCTCTCATAATGCCTTATAAATATGCTGTACTTACCAGCAGCAGTAGGCAGTGTTTTTCGGTGGTGCAATGATTTAAACCACCACCGGTGTCCACATTACCGGTGTTGTGTCAGGTTTAAAAGAGCAGTACTGGAAGAAGTACTCAGCTCCTTTCACTTGAATGAAAGTAACTTCAGCACTGTGTAAAAATCCACAAGGAAAAGTCCTACACACAAAATCTTACTTAAGTAAGAGTAGCCTACAGACTCATCTAAATGTGGGCTACTTGAAGCATTGAAGGAAAAAGTAGGTCACTCACGAAAGATGGCCCATGTGAGGGTTGTAGGATTTTATTTGTAAGATGCATTATGTAAGTGCATTTCTATTGTTAGACAATCTGGAACCAATACTAAGGTTACTTTATAGCCTACTATTGGGTGGATTAATCTGTGGATCATATCTTTATAAGACACTCCTATGTTTAGTAAAATCTTAATCTGCAAAGTAACTGGTACATGTAGCTGTCAAATAAATGTAGTGATTAGGCCTAAAAGTTACCTCAAAATTGTACTTGTAGTAGCATACTACTCAAGGGTGTCACTTTGTGTTGAAAAGTGGTGGGGACATTTGAGGGCTCATATTAGGGAGGTGATGAAACACTAAGTCCATGAGACATGACAATGCACAATATTGGAGTCAGGAGAACAAGACAACAAGATACTCCAATGCGAGTGGTGGGGACATGTCCCCAGCGTCCCCAGTGTAAATGACACCTATGCTACTACTTGAGTAAATGTAGGCTACTTTGTTTCATTGGTTGTTTGTATACTGGGTTAACCATCCCCTACTAATAATAAAGTGGTAGAATTACAAATCCACTTTTAGCTGTTTTCTGAACACAAACCTTTTCGATTTACAGCACAGTCCCACAGTTCCTGGTTAACAATAGGCCTACTGGTTTTGGTGGTACAACACAACTAATGTGGTAATTGCCCTGATACTGTGGTTTGCCAGCACAACAATGAAAACATCTCTTTGACAACATTGTTTAAAACTGCAAAAGGCAAGAGTTCTGGGGTGACAATGAAACAAGGAAACATTAAAGTTAGGTTCAGCACAATTACACAGGTAAGGACCCAACGGGGGTAGGCCTATGTGCATAATGTAATCAGTTGAACATGTGTTAGCCTATTAAAAATAAATGAACTGGTATCATCACTAAAAGAAGCAAAACATGACAGTAGTTTTGGGGTGAATAAGGTTGGATTTGAAAAGGAAAATCATCTACCTTCATTTCCAATGACTTTTTATATTCCACTGGTCAAATCCAGGACAGTTGTGTTTTTCTTCTGTGCTTGTGTGTGTGTGTGAGTGAAAGAGAGCATGGAAAAGCATTGTCATGGGTGTGACCTAAAAACAGCACACACTCTGTGTCCCCTGATGTGGAACACTTCTTCCACTTCCGTTAAATGGTCTAACCTGTCGCAGTTTGAGTCTACAAAATGAAAATGCCACCTTCATACTGGGCTCAAGATAATTTTTTAATTGTTAATTATTATTAAAGCAATATAAGTAGTGCTCTGCTAAATAGTGCATACCTAACCTCCATCTAATGAATGCCTTATTTTAATGCCCCTCCCTCTTTGTCACCCTAATTATCCCTGCCCCAGGTCTCTTTCACACACACACTTTCAGTGTATTTGACAAAAACCAAAATAGGATCAACATCCAAAATGGTAGACGTCTGCTCTCTAGTGGAATGTTCCAGGTAGTGCACTTTACCGAGTACCCTGTTGGCATATGTAGTTCTAATGATTCTGAAATCCCATTTATCCTCAGTATACAGTACTACTGGTGGAACTCTGTTTCATGTGTCCATCCTGTTTTAAATATCTCTCCTCAAACCCCACCTCTGACCTTACTCTTCTATATCATTCATTCTCCATAAATGAGGGTTAGTTAAATTGTATATTATTTTCATTTTAATTTTTACTAGCCAGTTGTATTAGTCCTATAATAAATGGATGGTTTATCCGCATGTAAGTGTGTGTATTTCTCCCCAGAAGGGTGTCCCGAGCATACAGTCTATGGTTCCGAGCCCATCCGTGACTGTAATGCCAAAACCACACACATTATTAACCATGGCTTATGTGTACTCTTCTATCTACAGCCCATGTACATTTCGTTAATTACATACAGACTTATCTGACTTGCTGTAAACAAACAGTGATTTTATTCAAGATTAAACATTAAGACGCCCACAGAATAGATGAACAGGCATTGGTTTAACACAAGGTTGCTTTTTCTGCTGCTGTCCCAGAGACCCACTATTAAGCAAAGCTTTAGCTCAACACATTTACATGTATTTCAATGTAAAAAGGTGTATGTATGCCTATAGATATGCATACATATATACATGTGTATATACTGAACATAGACGGTCAGTTTCCTGGATAATGTTTTTATCCCAGTAAAATAAACTCTGGGTGTATTTTCTTGTATCTGTAGAGAAGACACCAAGAGTAGTCTGCATATTACCTTTTGTCTGAGCTGCATTTATTTATCTTGTGATAAATGACTATTATGTAGTACCCCTCAAGAGTAGAAGTTAGTGTTTCCAGTGGGTCGTCATGATCAGGAGCAGAGCAAGAAAAACCCTGGTCTAAAAATGGCGGCAGACAGACAAGTCCAACCAACTGAACCTGACAAAGGCACCAACAATACACAGATGTATTCATCTTTTTTTTAAAAAAATACACACATCAAGTACAATATATTGCCTTGCAAAGAGGCCATTGGAAAGAAAAAAACATGAGTCAGTATAAGAAACAAATTTGCAAGTACAATTACAGTGGACCTGTACATATGGAAAGCATAGACAATATTTCATCTGTCCACACCTATTCGCCTCCCTTTGGAATGTTAGAAGGGATCACTTCTCTGGTGGTAATTGTAGGCAGGACTTGAGAGAATGCATCTGGCACTGAAGGTTGCAAAAGACTCTTATTAAATGTAAGCAGGAGGCAGTAGATCTCCCTCACCAGCGATTTGAGAATGACAAAGGGAACGAGCTGAAAAACATAAAAGTTGGTGGATGGAGAGTTTTAGACAAGACTCAGGATTAGCACCAACTTGAGAAGTTTCTGAACTGCGTGTCTCCGAGCATAGAAGGTAGGGCAGTGTGTGTTTGACGATGAGGATGAAACTAATAATGTGAAAATGGTGATGGTGTGTAGGTGAATCAGAGTCATGGAATAACCTGGGGGGAGCAGAAGCATTGCACTGATCCAGACCACCCATGGCCTCTACTGTCTGCCAAACAAATCAGGACACTAGGACCAAAATGTATTTAAATAGGCTTTCAGGGCTTTGAATTGCTATAGTGTAGGTCTATATGCATGATTTTTACATTGATTGATTACACTGAGTTTTCTTAAAGAATACGGCCTATTTCTAATACAGCAATGACTAAAAAAGCGTGTGTAACTGGGCACAACTAAATTCTTTAGATTGTGTTCTTAGCCTTAAAAGATTTAAGCTCCCCAGAGAGTATTATTATTTGTGAGAAAAGTCCATTCAAATGCCCCAAATCTTTTACTTTTTCTGAAAATCTATTGAAGCACTATTGGGCCCAGGTCTACAGACAAGAGTCAGGGGTTAAACTGGGAGCGAGCAAGACAGAAACCAGCAGCCAACCAACACACAGTGAACTTACAGTATCATTTATTTGGTTCATAAAGAGAAAAAAAGCTTTTTTTTAAATAGTGAGCTGAGCAAGCCCGCCTTTTCTCATTATGGTAAAACGAATCCCAATTTAACCCCTGGATTTACATTCATGTGAACGTGATAGCATATAATAAAGACCTAACAAGTGACAAGACAGTCCAAACAGTTGCAAGGCTTCATGCAGTGCTACCTCATAAGATTTACATTGACTCTACTGTTGATAGAACAAAATTATTTAAGTATTTCTAATCATTGCGCAATGGCTTGTCATGACTCTACTGATCATAAAGAAAGTATATCCATTTAATTTAAAAAATACAAAAGCTGTGATCTGCATGTACATGTGTCACATATAGTATCTATGAGAAGCTAATGCAGTTTGCAATATGGTCACTGTCTCCGTGCTGTATATTTCTTTTTAAACTTAATGCACACCTCTAACACTGCCAATTATATTAATTGTTACTGATAGAAAGACTTGTGTGACTAAAGATATGAGCACATATGAGTCTAAGAAAGCACAGACACTTGTGATTGTAACGCAAATCTGGTAGTGCTTACAAGCTTACATGCAGTTAATGGTTGGAGATGATATAGAGAACCAAAAACAATAAATACATTGTATAAAACATAATTTTATATCAATATATTAAAATACTATTTAAAATAATATCTTAGACAATATTGCAATATGAAATTGACCGATAAATAGTTGGTAGGCCTACACAGAGAAATATATATATTTAAGTATCTGTGTCCTTCATAGTTTGCTGTTTTGACTTAAATGATTTAAAGTTTCCAGATTTCTCCCAGTGGGTAGCAATACAATCCAGAGAGCTAATACATTTTCTTTTTTCCCAACAATAATAACAATGAACTTACAGTACACAGTCCCATAATAAAGATATACATACTGAATACAATATAAATGTCAAGACAGAAAAATAGAAAAATATCAATAGAAATCAAAAGTCAAATACATATCAGAAAGTATACAGAGAAATGTGTACTTATGAGTCTTTGTGGTTCATGTTGTTGTAGCTGGAGCTTGTATTGGCTCTCGTTATTGGTATATTGGCTGTGTAACTGTACTTCGTTTTTTTTGTTTTTTCCCAGTCCTGACACACACACACACACACACACACACACACACACACCCTGCCACATAGACACAAAGCTACACACCTGCAAATACAGACACATTCAATGGCACACATGTCTGCACAGCTGCAGGTGTGCACTCACCTCCGCACATATACACCCACACACACACACACACACACACACGTGCACACAAACAGCTCACATGACCGTGCAGCATTTGCAGGTCTGTTTCTTCTCCTTTTCTTTCTCTCCTTCCTCTCCGCCTCCGTTGGCCTTTTCTTTCTCCGCCATGCTCCCGTTGGGCGGAGCCTGCTCTTCTGTGCCAGCCTCTCCTCCCGCTTTCCCCTCTCCATCCTCGATTACAACAAACTCAGCCTTGACATTGCCATCCACCCCTTCCATTCCCAAGGCCGTGCGGGTCTCCTGTTCTTCCCCAACGGTCTTGTAGCCCATGAACACCAGGGTGACGGGATTGTCTGCGCTAGCTTGGTCAGGACTGGGACCCAGCAGCTTGGCCTCAATCCCTGTCACCTCTCTCTTGGGGGTCTGGCCAGAGGTCTGCACTACACCATTCTCACCTGTAGGGAGCACCAGAGTATCATTGAGAGATATGGAGAGTGCAAAGGGAAAGAGGTTGGTCAGGGTAAGTCAGAGAGACAAAGAAAGAAAGGCAATATTGTTTTAATGACCTCCGGCAGAAAGGAACTATTTAATAGAGCAAATGAAAGGGCCATTATTAGTGCTCTCTCTCTCTTTCTGATGTGTTCAGGCTGTGTTGCCATGGTTTCCTGTGTGGTCACATGTTGCCATGGGTACTGAACTTACCTCCATTTTCTTTGGCCACACCCTTATTGGCTGGCACGTCTGTCTCCAGCTCTTCAATCTCTTGCTCCAGCCTGACTCAGAAACACACACACACACACACACACACACACACACACACACACACACACACACACACACACACACACACACACACACACACACACACACACACACACACACACACACACACACACACAAAAATAAATTAAAATTGAGCTCTACTTTACACCACAGAGACTATAATATACAGTATATAGCAAAACTATAATATGTTAAATATTTTATCTAGCGGACCATGTTAGCCACAATGCCTTTAAAGAGATGGTATTATGCTTTTTGGCTTTCCCCCTCTCCTTTATTGATTTATATCTTTTTTGTGCATGCAACAGGTTTGCAAAGTGAAAAAGCCCAAAGTCCAGCCCAAAGGGAGTTCCCACCTCCCACAGAAAGCTCTGCTCTGAACCACTTGAAAACAGCTCGTTTGTAGTCCAGCCCTTCACTTCCTTTACTTGTGAGGTCACAATGAAAACGTGTCAAAGCTTGCCAAGCAGCCGAGCAGAGTCGAGTCTATGGATTTACGCTATGGTAGCATTTTTCGGCAAGGCAGCATAGATCGTCAGAACACCGGTAACAGTTCAACGTTTAGTCCTAATGGTAAGATGTGGAACAATGATGTTGTGTGGTTGTGGACTTCTGACTAACTTATACCATCTTTTACGGTCGCAGTCTGAAGCGGCTTTGATTTGGATCACACTACCTTGTTTTTTACGACCCGCCCTTCTCTGCTTCTGATTGGCTAGTAGTCCTTACCTTGGAACAGCACATGTGCAACTTCCAACAAAGATTTTGTACAAGAAAGATTCATCACTCTGTGGCTCAAGAGCGGAGCGTACAACACATAGGGTGAAAAGAGGAGCTGCAGCAATGTGCAGTATGAGAAAAATATGGTATTTTTTGAAAATTAAACCATGTAAACCTGTTCTGGTACAACCCCTAATTAAGATTTTGAACCTTAAAATGAACATAATACCACCTCTTTAAACCATATCTACTTAAAGACAAATGTACAAGAAATACTGATCTGTTGTTCATGTTCCATCTACCTATGCTTGGACTTGGCACGCAGACATATACAGACTAATCATTTCTTTAATAAAGTTCAGACACCACATAAATATATATATATCACAATTATTTATGGTTTCAATGCCCGATTGAAATTGTATTTCTTGAGATTTGTCTCAGTCTGGACACTCAAATTTGATTACATCACCTGTAATGCAACACATAACCCTCACGCGATATCAAAACCATCATCAGAACATATTCAAAACATAGCTGCACAGGTCAGCCACCTCTGTCTAATGTTGTCTAGTGCGACAAAGAGTTCTACTCCATGATTAATGTAGCTGTGGCTTGAGGAATAAGAGGAGGCATCTTCACTCGTCCTGCAACTTTAGCATTGGAAAAATGCACCACCTGTGCGAATGTATGCAGCCTTTATTTTTACAACAACAACTACACATATTTGAGCTGCTCATGAGATAATATTCTGGACTGTATGTTTAAAAGATGGGACATGCAGAGTATTGCTGACCTGAGGATGACCTGCTCCAAGAGTTTGGTCTTCACCTCGTCGTCCTGCAGACGCTTCTGAGTCTCTTCCTCCGCTGGGGCTCCATCTAACAACCAGCGCTCCCTCAGAGCCTTCGACTGCAAGGGGAAATAACAAATATAGACATGTTTTGTTTGTTGAGAATCGACACAGACAAAAGGCATTAGGTGACATTCATTTCATTTCTCTATAAATTCTTAATGTAACAGTGGTAAAAAGAAGAACATATTTCATTATAATTCACCCTGACAACCCTGTGTGACAGCCCCGCATGGGTTTAGTATATGAGTCAGTATGTCAGCTCTATTGAAAAAGCACAAGTAGGTATAGGACCTTTGATCACATGCCTTTCATCAGGAGCAGTTGATTAATCCATTAGTAGTATTTCTAGTATCTCCCAAAATGCTGCATGTTATCACCCCTTCTCACTTGGACATCAGTGCAATTTCTTTCAGAAGAGATTAGTGTCAATTTTACTGAGAACGACAAGCCCTTTAGCTAATCTACAACAAAAATCCACCAGTGAGTGTGTCCAGCACTTCTCTGCTGACTGCTGCCACTCAGTGAGTCTGTCACATACTTCAACTGCTGCCAACTTGTTGTTGTCAAGTGGACTATGGCACCCAGCCAGAGCATCAAGGCTTCTGGCAATGAACAGAAAAATCTAAACTAAGATATAATTCTCCTATTATACTCAACTGAGCATGGGATTGGAAGTCTAGATAAGTCACCGAGAGATAAAAATTAAATAGTTCTAATCTTAATGCGCATCAAACATTTCCAAGAGGTTGACAATGATTACAAGAATATCTTTATGGACAAGTTGAGAACACTGACTGTGACTAAATTCACTGATTGTGAACTGTTAGTCTCATTATAATTACTGTAGATAAAGTTAATTCTTGGACAATTACGCCCATATGACTTGAAATAAACAACATGGGAGGTGGATTTTCACTTCTTTATCTCTTTTTCAATTTATGTTTATTTCCTCTATCAATTTCCAAACAGCCGTGTATCCTCATCCTGACTCCCCACCCACATACCCTCCTGTAGATAAGCTAATATCAAAGCACATACTTGGCATGCTTTGAGGTAAATATAACAGTGTGTCTTACTCGCAGCTGTTAGACCATGCAGCAAAAGACAACTCTGCTTGGCCATATGGAAAAGTGCTAGAAAAAGCTCTTGTTTTCACGAGATGGACTGAAAATCTGGACCTGTGCTTGATGTGAATTCCTCTCCAGTGATGCAACAAAAAAACTCCCCCGTCTTTTTTCTTCTTCTCCGACTCGACCCCCGCCCCTTCTTCTCTCTTGTATGCATCTCTATCCATCATAAAGTTCATGAACTTTTGGGTTTGTGCATGTTGTATAGAATATGGTTGTAAATATCAGGCTGTATTTCCCTCAATTTCAATCTTTGTTTGTTTTTATCTGTTAAAGTGCCCGTTTTACTGTCTTATTTTCCCCATTGAGTGATTCAGTTCCAGACACCCAGCTGCACAGAGCTTTACAGAACACACGCTCACATGTTGTAATCCAACACTCTTCATACCCCAGCCCTGCATGGTCTCTTGGGCACTAAATCTAACCCCGATTCCTTCTCTCTTTTTGTCTCTCTCTCCCTACTCTCTCAATTTTGCTCGCTTTGTCGCCACACCCTACTACCCCAATGGCTGACATCACTTAATGTACTCACTCATGCGTATGCAAGCACGCACGCACGCACCGACACACACACACCAGTTTGCACGAGTCATAAAGCCAAAGTTACGTCTCTCACCATTGTTCTTTGGAGTAAAAGCTGCTAACGTAGCAGACAAAAGGCGGAATTGTGATACAGGCGCGTGCACACACACACACACACACACACACACAAATATACTAAGCAGCTGTAGGGAAAAGAGCATTATTTCTAATTCATCCTGCTATAGAGTGTCTACCCAAACTTTTTATTCTTTGGATATATGTAATTCAGTTGCTCTAAATAAAGGTTTATCCATCTATGTAATTCTTATGATTTTGCAAATGTTGACTTATGCACAATAAGTATTTAAAAATCAAAATCTACTTTAAATTGGTTCGACATTATGGGAAAAGCTGTCCTGTCATGTTTATATAGTAAATATTAAACTACAGTCAGGAGATGGTTAACTTAGCTTAGCACAAACACTGAAAACAGGGGGAAACAGTTAGCCTGGCTCTGTCCAAAGGTAACAATATCCAACCTCTGGGAAGTTACTGCTATATACTCTTGTAAAAGCACAACCTGTTTTTACACTGCGGTTTTTGTATGGATTAACAAACGTGATATAAAATGAGCTGGATCCCCCTGTTTTTATGTAAGTTTGCTGGTGCTAGCTTCAAATTTACAGTCCAGACATGATAGTGATCTTCTCATTTAACTCTTGGCATGAATGCAACCAAGCCTATTTCCCCCAAAAGTCTAACTTTTACTTAAAAGACACTTGAGACTGTATGTCTGTAGTGTTGTAGTCAAGACCGCCCAAACCGAGACCAAGTCAAGACCAGAGTTTATCGAGACCGAGACAAGACCAAGACCAGAGTTTATCGAGACCGAGACAAGACCAAGACTTTTAGGGGCTGAGACCAAGTTGAGACCAAGACCAGCTCCCCACATTACATGACACACAATAAAATGTGGAATGAGATCATAGGTACTTCTCGATCTGAAAGTGAAATCAACGTAAGCATCTTTATTCAACACTCCTTTTCCATGCTTGCCATCGCATTTTGAATTAGAGTTATTGGTTGCATTTGAAACAATACTTTTCACATCCAATCAAAGTTAGGAAGTTAACAAATAAATCACACAATGCAAAAGCAAATTATTGATATTCCCAAAGTTAAGGTCTTGTCTGGTCTTGAAATAAAATCCAGAGTCCTCAATGTCCGAGACCGAGAGAAGACCGAGTAAAAATGTGGTCGAGTCCGAGACAATACCAAGTCTATCAAAAAGTGGTCTTAAGACCGGTCTCGAGACTAAGACCTGTCTCGAGTATGAGTACTACAACACCATCTGTTTGTGTCTGGGGTGTGTAAATTATTAGCATTGCTAAAGCTCTTTTGTAGAAGTATGTCAATGGTGAGTACTTTTAATTTCATTCTGAGACATAAATTGTAATATGCTGTCCAATAAACTTTACATAACTAGATAACATAAGTTGACATTCAGACATTTTAATTAAAGGGACAGCCAGCTGCTGCATGCATAAACATATCTGTCATGGCTTGCAAATTAAAAACAGAACTGCTATTAATGCTTTCTATGTTAACATTATTGTATTACATCATCTCATCATTTTGTCTGCACTGTGTGACTCTGTATGTGTGTGTGATCCTGTATTAGTGTGATTTAATGGAGGGGCAGGTACACCCTTATAAAAATGTGGTGTGTAAATGGAGACATTTATTGGGTTTTCCACATGAACACCGCCTCTGGAAAAGCCATACTTGCTGTGGTTTGCACAAATAGCCTTCTAATGCTCCTGAACAGCGTGATTACACTTCCCCTCGGCGTGTCTATGTCTGTGTGTGTGTGAGACTAAAGCGGGGTGCGGTGGGTGTAAGAGCCGTTTCCTGTTGGTGGGAGTGGGACAAAAATCTGTTTCCTCTACCAAAGCCCTCTGCATTGTCTGAGGCTTCTGTGTTCTTTTATAAAGCAACGCACACAAAAATGAACACACACACACACACACACACACACATACATGCTCTGAAAATAGAAAAAGCGGATAGCACGCAAGGGCAATAGCACTGGTCACAGGCACTTTTGCCACAAGCACACACAGACGTCTGTGCAGGTGTACACACACTACAAGCTTTGCTCATATCTGTGACCTGCTGGACTGACTGGGGCTGAAATAGCTTTGATAGTGCTGACACATACTCTGACAAAAGCCTTAGCTCTGATATGAGTATGTGTCCACATGCATGCAGATTTGAATGTGTGGTCTTTTTAGGAAGTGTGTATATAACCAGCATGTGGAGGAGCTGCTCGTGTTATCTGCTGCCATTCTGAACATTCCGTGACAGCAGCAGTTAGGGAGTATCTCACTATGTGGCACTCATGGGTTTGTAAGAAATTGCAGAGTTTAATTTTGTTGTTTGCTCACATGTAGAGCCTAATTCCCTAAAACAAAGAACTGACTGGCAATTTCAGTCAGCTTGTTTCAAGTTCTTGTAAGAGCAAAGGAGAGGCCTGTAGGGGTTCAGGTTACAATTTGGTGAGAATTTGATTCATAAATACAGTTATCTTATCAGTGTAGTGGCTCCAGCACATTTTAAACAATGTAAAGTGTTCTCAGAGGATGTTAATTACAGTGCTAGGTGCAAATATACCAGTTCATCCACTGCAACTTGAGGTCTGTCTTTCCACGCAAAATGGTGGAATTTGTGAGTCAAGGTGATGAAAAAAAAAAAAAAAGACAATAAAATCCAAAGCAAAGTCAACGTGAGCTATGGCTGCAGCTAAGATGCTTTGAACTGACCCTGGTATTGTTTTTCCAAGTAACAAGACAAACAGTGATGGTATAGTATATTTGTCCCTAAACATGGATGTCCAGATTTTCCTAGCAACATATGAGGAGCATGGATGAAGAGATTAAGGGTTGGTTTATACTAGAAAAGAACTGACCACATTGGGAATCAAAAGCCTATAGTTGTTCTGAATTGCCATACACTAGAAAGCAGGCGAGAGGGGGGGAGACATATGATATGGGGTTTAAATATGGGTCTACTAGAGAGCATCTACTTTTCAGCTGTCTTTCATTGTTCTTTACTGATTCAGTGTGCATTTAAGTACAGCCATGTTGAATACAGGTACTCTAATTACCATATGCACTGTTACAATGCTCTTGAGGAACTGTGAATGAAACTGAAGCTATACAATGTGGCAAATACCACATTGTTTGTTCATTCAATGACCCAATTCAGGAACCTGGTGTCAACATCTACTTACCTAAGGTGGAACAGACAGGAAAATTGTAAACATGTGACCAAAGTCTACTGCTAAGAAAATAAAAGTATTAAGCAAGTGAAGCTTGAAGTTCTGTGCACAATTTTGGGGCTACTTTTTGTCTCTAATCCGCAATATTGCCCGTGAGAACACGCCATTGTTGGATTTTGTTCATTGCAAACTGCCTGCTTAAATTGCAATGACTACACTAGAGCAGCGCACGATATCTAACTAACTCAATGACTTCTAAACAATAGGAAACAAGTACCTCCACCTGTTTGCAGACAATATTTTGCATTATTTTGAGGTTTTATTTTCAAATAACCTAATTACACCTAAGGTATTCCCACAAGTAGGCTACAGTAGTACTATTAAGGCATGTGCAAAATGTGTATGCATGTGCACGTGGAGTGTGTACCTTGAGATGCTGGAGTTGCCGTCGGTCATCATCCAGCTGCCTCCTCTTGTTTTCTATTTCTGTCTGCTTCTTCCGTTTCTCCTGTTATAACACATACACATTATGATTACTCTGTAAGGACACACAACAATACTAAGACCATTTTAAACTAAATGTGTTTGAAGACACCACACTGTGTCCTTAATAGGGCCAGGTACCAAATTTGTGAGTCATTAGTATAGAATGGCATTTTATTGATATCGAAATGAAAACATTTTGAAAAATATCCAGCCCTAGTATTTAAAAGTAGTGGTGATGATTTAATGGCAGATTTTGTTGACTGAGTACATTATTTGTAAGTATAATTGCTTACTACTGTGTCTGAAAAAGAGTAGGAGAGAAAGAGCATGCACTGTTTGCACTATATATTTATAGGCACATAATATTCACATCATATGTCAAGTCAATTTCAGGATAATGTTTGAAGTGTTGATGAGAAATCAAACAGTTTGATATAGAAGTTGGCGTAGCAATCCTAATGTTTATAATAAAAGTTGTATTTATTAATACAATAACAAACAAATTATCATACCACATTTAGTGTGAGGCCATTTCTGACAGATGTTTTAAACTTTTGACGTTTCACTATGTTCAGATTTAATTCTGAATCACTGTGTGACATTTTTGAGTTATAGGCTTGTAGAGCAAACCACATTCAAATGTGCGTTTAGTGACTTTGTATGCCACAAACGTTTTGTGAAAATGTGTATCAAGATGTGTATATGCATACTGGCCTGGATATTGTGTGTCCGAAAAGACAAAGCGAGAGGATAAAATAGACAGGCAGGATGAAAGAGGGAGAGAGGAAAGGGAAGAGAGACAACGAGAGACAGAAAGGAGCTGTAGCTACTGCATTAGCTTTCAATGTCCTCTAATGGGTGAAGAAGATGGGATCTAAAAGGTTGAGTCATTAAGACAGGCAGTCAGATCCTGATAGGCAGCAATGATTTGTTGTTTCAACAGCCATCACTGTGCCCTCATGTGCACTCTAGATGAGTGTATGTATGTATGTATGTATGTATAATATTAACTTACAGCGATGGCCTGGAGTCTCTCCTCTTGTGACACCTCAGCCATCCTGGAGGAAAGAAACCGAGACAGATTGAGGGAGAAGGAGAGAGACAGACAGGAAGAGAGAGTTATAATCACACATGACCACCAACAACAACTTTTCCTTGACCGTAGCATTCGCTCACCGGTCATTTACCGTTCAACGACTTCCCAGTGACTGAGGTTAAATATGTCTCTTTGCACTAAATCACTGTCTCTTTCCTGCTTTCCAGTCAGAGAGAGTCAGTGAAGGCATGCTAATGTGCTAGCAGAGCGCTGCTGGAGATTCCTGCTCTAATAGGTTCCAGACCAAGAGCTCCAGGATGGACAGAAGCAAAGCTGAAGCAAGACTAGAGAGACTGCAGGCGGGGGACTCAAAGGGGGACAGAGCTATCACAGTATGGGGCTTCCTCAAAAACCATATACACATTACATCAAGTTTTGTATTTTAATTTAATTTAAAATTTGACAGTGTGGCTGGAATGTGATAAGCAATGCAACCCAAAAATGAATGCACTTCCGGAAGTGTATATATATTTGCTGATCTGGTGTCAAAATGCTTTGGTCGCTCAATTTATAGAAAAGAATGCGACCTCTCTGTCTGAGGTTGCTAATTTGTGAATGTGTAAAAAACGTTTTCTGTAGATTGGAGGTGGTGTATGAAGCACACAAAAGTGGCCACAGCATCTTAGCAGCAGTGTGCCTTTTCCAGCCTGAACTGAAACAACACACGAGTCTCATTTCTCTGCGCTGGTCCAAACCAAGCTACATCACTCTCCACCCACTGCTCTTCAGTGCCAGTAAAATGTGTTTAAATTGTCTGATCATGTCACTCCTACTGATGAGTGGACAAGACACACACTATTGGATCTACACACAAAGCTTGGATTGTTAGCATTTCAATAGAGCAAAACCCATCCAATCTTGCCCTTGCTGGGTTGCTTGGGTTGGTCTGATTGCAGCACTTTCTTATTACCCACAAAGATATGCAATGCAACAACACTGGCTCCTCTCAAAACATAAAGATGCACACATTATCTGTCATGCTTGTTAAGTCCACTGTCCAATCACAGAAGCACACATTTCTGGTCCACATTTATTCACAACACCACAATGGTCTCTGCTCTCCCATAAAGCCACATCGCAATCACATGGAGACCCTTTGGAGAAGAAGTAAAACCACAATCATCTGATTAACCCCCAAGTACACACATGAACACTCGCACACACACGTATTTGTTCCTCTATCACCGTGAGGACATCTCATTGTAATAATATTCCCTAGCCTCCTACCCTAACCTTAATGATCTCAACTAAATGCCTAACATTAACACTTACTCCAACCCTAACCTTTATCTAATGGTAACCTGAACCCTAAAACCAAGCCATAACCCTCAAAAAGCATCCCCATAGCGATTGGAGTCCCCATCAGTAAGTGTGCATTCAGGTTAAAGTCCCTACCAGGTTAAAACACACACACACACACACACACACACACTGTACTGTCTAGACACATTCTTAGCAATTTTCGCCTTTCCCACTGATCCAGCACAAACAGGAAGAATAAAAAAAAAACATCTGGGAATGCACTGAGTAAAATCAGTCTGAATAAGAGAAGCCAGCACTGTCAAATTCATCAATCAATAAAATAAGGCTCCAAATTCAAAAGTACATTTTGTTGTTAAGACCTTTATTCAGGTACCGTTTACATTTATGTTGTGCGTTGATAGTGTTTTATAACTTGGTTACTCCCTAAATTTCCTCTTCCTCTCCCTCATCTGGATCAGTTCATCAGTGGTATGAAGGAGGCCTGGAAGCACTGGGTGACCATTCCGACCTGGGTAAGGTCACTGTGAGCGTCAGCAAGGACGAAGCAGAAGCATTATTAATTTTAAGTGTTAATTAAATCTCTTGGATACAGCAGTTTTGAAAAATAGGGTAAAATGATCAGGTTACTGAAGGTTTATTTGTGTATTTATTAAACACAGAAAAAAACATGTGTCGCGACTTAATCATTTAAAATACAGACCACATACATACAAATCTTTCAAGTTATGTTGACATAATTTTAATATGCAAGTTTTGTCAGGATTTGGTGGGTGAGCGCAGAGGAGGTGAGCCCAAACACAAGACACTGGAACAGGAGATAGAATTCAGGGATTTTATTAACACCTATGGAAAACATAGGCGTACACTGAAAGGTGCAGACAAAGTCCAAAAAGGCAGGTAATCCAGACTCCAACAGAACACTCTTCCAAACCACAAGACTGAGTGTGAACACTACAATGACCAGACAAAGACTTAACAAAAACACCGGGCATACAGGTGCTGGTCATATAATTAGAATATCATCAAAAAGTTGATTTATTTCAGTAATTCCATTCAAAAAGTGAAACTTGTATAATGTATACATTCATTCCAGACAGACTGATATATTTCAAGTGTTCATTCCTTTTAATTTTGATGATTATAACTGACAACTAATGAAAACCCCAAAATCAGTATCTCAGAAAATTAGAATATTGTGAAAAGGTTCAATATTGAAGACACCTGGTGCCACACTCTAATCAGCTAATTAACTCAAAACACCTACAAAGGTCTTTAAATGGTCTCTCAGTCTAGTTCTGTAGGCTACACAATCATGGGGAAGACTGCTGACTTGACAGCTGTCCAAAAGACGACCATTGACACCTTGCACAAGGAGGGCAAGACACAAAAGGTCACTGCTAAAGAGGCAGGGTGTTCACAGAGCTCTGTGTCCAAACACATTAATAGAGAGGCGAAGGGAAGGAAAAGATGTGGTAGAATATTGTACAAGCAATAGGGATAACTGCACCCTGGAGAGGATTGTGAAACAAAACCCATTCAAAAATGTGGGGGAGATTCAAAGAGTGGACTGCAGCTGGAGTCAGTGCTTCAAGAACCACCACGCACAGACGTATACAAGACATGGGTTTCAGCTGTCCCATTCCTTGTGTCAAGCCACTCTTGAACAAGACACAGCGTCAGAAGCGTCAGAAGGGCTAAAGACAAAAAGGACTGGACTACTGCTGAGTGGTCCAAAGTTATGTTCTCTGATGAAAGTAAATTTGGCATTTCCTTTGGAAATCAAGGTCCCAGAGTCTGGAGGCAGAGAGGAGAGGCACAGAATCCACATTGCTTGAAGTCCAGTGTAAAGTTTCCACAGTCAGCCATGGTTTGGGGTGCCATGTCATCTGCTGGTGTTGGTCCACTGTGTTTTCTGAGGTCCAAGGTCAACGCAGCCGTCTACCAGGGAGTTTTAGAGCACTTCATGCTTCCTGCTGCTGACCAACCTTATGGAGATGCAGATTTCATTTTCCAACAGGACGTGGCACCTGCACACAGTGCCAAAGCTACAAGTACCTGGTTTAAGGACCATGTTATCCCTGTTCTTAATTGGCCAGCAAACTTGCCTGACCTTAACCCTATAGAAAATCTATGGGGTATTGTGAAGAGGAAGATCCAGTACACCAGACCCAACAATGCAGAAGAGCTAAAAGCCACTATCAGAACAACCTTGGCTCTCATAACACCTGAGCAGTGCCACAGACTGATCGACTCCATGCCACGCCGCATTGCTGCAGTAATTCAGGCAAAAGGAGCCCCAACTAAGTATTGAGTGCTGTACATGCTCATACTTTTCATGTTCATACTTTTCAGTTGGCCAACATTTCTAAAAATCCTTTTTTTGTATTGGTCTTAAGTAATATTCTAATTTTCAGAGATACAGAATTTGGGATTTTCATTAGTGGTCAGTTTTAATCACCACAATTAAATGAAATAAACATTTGAAATATATCAGCCTGTGTGTAATGAATTAATATAATATCCAAGTTTCACTATTTGAATGGAATTACTGAAATAATTAATAATAAAGAAACTTTTTGATGATATTCTAATTATATGACCAGCACCTGTATATATATATATATACACAGGGACTAACAAGCAGGACGGGAGCAACACAGGTGACAGGGTAAAGGTTAACGAGGCAGGCAGAGAGATAGCAGTGAAAACAGAGAGACAGGCAGGCAGGCAGAGTGGGCAGGCAACTGGGGGAACAGACGGAACACTTGACCGGCAGACATGGGGCAAAATAAATAACCAACACAGACAGAACACATGTAACAAAATAGCAGACAAGAATCTAACTTCAGACAATAGTAGAAATCCATGTAAACAGACAAACACTGACCAACTATAACACAGGGATCATAACAGACAAAACCTAAGCGAGAACACAGAACTAGAACACAGAGTACAGAGCAGACTAACGCAAAATAATGCAGACAAGAACTAGAAGCAAATACTAAGACATGAACTATTAAGGCACAGGACTAGGAACAAAGACATGGAACAAAAAACTCAGACTTCCCAACAAGACACACAGACAGGATCATGACAAGTTTAAACTATAGATTTTATGTCTTAAAGTATTAACACTTGTAGATAATGTTGAACACGCATTTATGAGCATCTAATTAGAGTTCGGTATCATTTGGGGTTTTTGACCCCTGGAGTTTTTTAAATAACTTATCTTAAGAATATAACAAAATAAGATAACCTTTACAAATTCATTAGTGTTTAATTTAATTTAGTTCCTAGACAACAACTGAGTCAACACTATCACAACTGAGCAAACTAGTCGCTTATGAAGAGTGTGAGATGCAGTTAAAAATTCAACAAAATGCAAGTTAGCCTTGAGTTAGGGAGTCACAAGACTAATAAAGAATTATCCTTGTCCATGTTTACATGACCAATCTGACAAATGCTTGTTTTGGTGCCACGGAGGTTTGATACCCATGCCTACACCTAAAACAATGTAACTGGAAACAATCAACCCTCACTGGACCAACTGGGGGTTAAGTGCTCAGATTTTCCAAGCTTGTTGCATTGTAATGCAAGCCCACTTCACTAACCTCTAGGCTACAGCTGTAATGCATTTTTAAGATGTATTGGAAAAAATATGTCCACCTTGCTGGAACATTGTGGGCCTATGTCCTGATG